GTGCCATTCCGGCGTCTTGTTGTTACACGGCGGAGGCGGGAAGACGCCGAACAAGACGCCCTCGCGTGAGGAGATTCGAGAGGAGGCAGCCAGCGGACGTCGGAACTCCGGCGGCAGAGACTCCGTGTCCCCCGCTCGGGGTGAGCGCGCCAAGCAGGCGGCTTGTTCGGTTTTTTGTTTTTCCGCTTTGTCGGGGTGGGTGCGGGTTGTAGGCCTGAGCGCGTGCCGCGTACCCCCCCGGCTTTCCTGATTGTTACTGCCGGGAGAGGCGCGTGTTGACCGGTAGGGGGTTTACATTTTTTGGAGGGGGTACGGGTACGACACAAGCTTCCGTAAACTGTGCGCAGTGTGTTGTTATTATTATTGTTGTTATAATTATAAATCACGGTTGTGTGTGCTTGCGGGCCTTCGACGCAACGGCCTTCTCGACATTAAGCAGGGGCGACGAGAGACCATGAAAGATGGGGATGTGACCGAACACACAAACGCAGAGAACCCCAAAAACAAACAACCATGTTACGGATGCAGAGATATGTTTACGCAGTGCATCGTACGATCGTTCGCCGTGGTGGCGGAAGCTTTGAGAGGCCTTCATCCCTCAGTGGATTGACCGTGGCTAACGAGGGCCATCAAAGTGTAGGACAGAATCTAAAGGGGTTGTAACAAGACGCGATGTAGCGACTGGTGTTTGCATCTGCACGTCTGCGCCTTTCGCACTGATTCTGAGACGTTACTTGAGTGATAACTTTCGAGGGGCACACCGAGAGGCAGACGCGGAAACGACTACGCATGGGCATATCGCAGACTAATTTGTCTCGTTACGGGGGTTGTTTGACCATACTTAGCCACACTGGACAAAGCAGGGATGGGGAATGGGGGGGGGGGGGTTACCCAGGGCCTGTTCAGGTGTGTCTCGCCACTGATGCGAGCCGGGAATTGAACTCAGGGTAGCCTGGCTCATGCGAGGCGTGGTAAGAAAGAAAGTCACTGCGACTCGTCTCCCTAAGCCATACACCCTAACGTGATGGCCTAAACCCTAACCTGCCAGCTTAAACCCTAACCTGCAGGCCTAAACCCTAACCTGCCAGCTTAAACCCTAACCTGCAGGCCTAAACCCTAACCTGCCGGCCTAAACCCTAAGCTGCAGGCCTAGACCCTAACCTGCAGGCTTAAACCCCAAGCTGCAGGCCTAAACCCTAACCTGCCGGCCTAAACCCTAACCTGCAGGCCTAAACCCTAATATGCTGACCTAAACCCTAACCTGCTGGCCTAAACCCTAACCTGCAAGCTTAAACCCTTACCTGCAGACCTAAACCCTAACCTGCCGGCCTAAACCCTAACCTGCAGGCCCAAACCCTAATCTGCAGGCCTAAACCCTAATATGCTGGCCTAAACCCTAACCTGTCGGCCTAAACCCTAACCTGCAGGCCTAAACCCTAATATGCTGGCCTAACCGCTAACCTGTCGGCCTAAACCCTAATCTGCAGGCCTAAACCCTAATATGCTGGCCTAAACCCTAACCTGCCGGCCCAAACCCTAATCTGCAGGCCTAAACCCTAATCTGCAGGCCCAAACCCTAATATGCTGGCCTAAACCCTAACCTGTCGGCCTAAACCCTAACCTGCCGGCCTAAACCCTAATATGCTGGCCTAAACCCTAATCTTCCGGCTTAAACCCTAACCTTTGACCTCCAAACCTTAAAGCATTAATCTAAACCGTAACCTTAAACCCTTACCCCGTCAACCCTAATCTATTAATCTTTAATCCCAAAACCCTAAACCATAACTACATAAAACCTAACCTCGAAGCCAACCCCATAAAGCCAAACTCCCTAAACTAGGAAACCAAAACCTTACACTTCCACGAAGCTTAAGAAGTGGCATCCCTTCATATTTCAAAACTGTTCAGCTAAAGAAGCGGGAATTTGCAAAGGAATGCGAATCTGGGAAAAAACCAACACCCAGAGATTGTCTGATTGAATAGTGCCAGAGACCTAGACTCACTTTGCCCACATCAAGTGACTCACGCAATTCAATCTCCAGTGTATTCATATTGCGAGCATATTTCTTTAGAGTGTGTGTTTTATATCGATCTGCGGCATGCTTTGTTTATAACGCTCTCTCATCTTACACGCTGGGTTGATCGAATGCAATTGGTGCACCTCACATTTCACAAACATCGTGTTGTGGCACAAACCACGCAACGACAATGAGCCCGTGTTGCCTTCTTCCCGACAAGAAGAATGTGAGAGCGGTGGGCCCCGCATCTTACACGGGGAGGAAGTTAACGTGTTTATTTGGAGGTATTGAGACTGGAAGGGGTAGTATGCAAAGACTTTCAAGAATGTTTTTGCGCTGATGTCTACAGTGTGGTGACTAAATGGGTCGTAAGAATAGGTTTTACGCTTTCTGGCGTAAAACCTACTCTTGTTAACAATCTGTTAAAAGCTCTAACAGATAAGTGGAATCCCTCCCCATAGAGGTGGTTCATTCTATATTTGAATCTAGAATTCTAGATTTGAATCTAGAATGAACCACAATGGGACAAGAAATCACAGCTAATCGAATCGCTTTCTTGCTGTGGTTGTCACACCTGATGATGATTGCTTGTGTTGCAATCGAAACGTCGTGATTATTTTATTTTGTATTTTCTTTACCTACGTGACTTTACCGAAAGAACCAAGAGTATGGATCCTTGCAGTCACGAAAACTTCAAATATAGAAAGGTGTTAAAATTTTAAAATACTAAACTGAAACCTTTTGCAAGGAATCATGTCTGTGTTAACCATATATATAGTTGTGGTGAATATGCAAACAAAAAACATGCTCTGGGAGAAAATGATACATTGTTTTTTAAAACTGATTGGTCCACACCAGAAACAGCTTTCTTTAGAGCCTCGTCTCAAACAGTGTTAGACCAGAGGACGCCAAAAGGCGAACAGCACAAAGACAATGCCACTATCAGGAACATTGAGAGTTTGAGGTGAGCAGCTACATCATGGGACCTCCATGATGATATAAATGGGTCGCCCTGCATACACACAACACCTTACTGCAAACACATTTGTTACTGGCCCCGTGCAGCGCAAGTCACGTATCTTTAAACTTGATTTGAAGTTTTCGTGACTGCAGGAATTACTCTTTGGTTATTTCGTTAAAGTCGCATAGAAAGAAAATAAATTAAATAATAGAATACGACATTTCGATTGCAACACAAGCAACCGTCATCAGGTAGAACTAAATTTGAGAGAGAGACAAAATACAGACACGGAGACACACAGACACACAAGCAGAGAGAGCCGCACACAACATGGACACACAGAGACTCAATGCCTCTGTGTGTCTTAAATAGAGAGGGGGGGGGGGTGCCAGACCTTGTAATCGGGTCATGCCCAATTCACATCACAATTTGACTAATTTCAGCTAACAATGCTCCTAACTTAATTGATTACAGGACACATACAATAATGTGGGTGGGTGTGTCTGGTAGTTTCGTGGTTTGCTCGCTGCACTACGAACACAGTGACCCAAGTTCGATTCCCGCTTACGGCCAGTGCCAGTGACGATTATCGGAACCGGTCCTCGGCCTTCCCCCTAGGTCGACTCAGCCTCAAATGATTGCCTGGTGCGTTGTGTAAACAACGCCACTGGGGAGACAAAGGCAGCCGGGGCGTGGTGCTGGCCACCCACCCCCTCGTGTGCCATGCCGGCCTTAATTGGTGCTGCTACTCGCTCGCAGCTAATTGCCCCAAAACGTCTGTTAAGGCTTTGAGGAGGGGTGAGTGATCTTTGTCTTTGTCGTTTTGTGTGTGTTGGCAGGGTGCGTTCATCCGGCGTCGTGATGTCTGGCCTGACTGCGGCGCGGGCTCCGCTGGGCCTGATGTCGCTCCCCCTGTGCTCCGCCGCGCTGCTCGCCCTGATTCTTACGCTGCCCAAGACGAGCGGCGACGTTGTGGCTGTGGGTGTCTCTCGCTCTCTCTCAACGTTTCGGCACGGTTGCGAAAAATCTGTTTTGAAGCAATCGCGTTGCGTCCCATCACCCTTTGTGTTGGAGAACATCCCGCGGAAGCGGATATGCCAGAGCTACCTTTGAGATCCGTTCAAGTGATTTCTGATCCATCAAATAGCGGGTAGTCACTTTCTCACCAATTCTGTCACTGAGAGTGATGTTCTTTGTGTGACAGTGAACCCGATATTATTAATTCTTAGAGCTGGAATGTAGCTTAAGCGCAAAACTAATTTTAATAACTTTTTTTGGTGCAGTCGTTGGTTACCAGGCTGAGATCATTAACTCGCTCCGCTTGAGAACCAGGTTTAATCGCACCTCGGTCTACGCGAGTCGATGGGTCTCCGTGCAGTTCACAAGATTTCTATGTAATTCTACAGGTCTCTAATGCAAGTCACCAGTGACCGTGCCGAGACCATCATCTCGCTACACATGAAAGCCCAGGTTCAGTCACAGGCGCGACATGCATATGGATTGGAAACCAGAATTCATAATTGGATATTGCGGCCATACCCAAAAATCTATTATGATTAGTAACAGTTACTGCGTAAACCCACGCATTAAACGGCACAACCATGAACGAGCCTCACAGCTCTTTTTCAGAAGTGACCTGGCCATAAGTGATAGCTCAACAAAGTGGCTTATAACGCGGACATATTATTACCGCAAAATAATCGAATTGATCAGCACGCCGTACAAGCCGAAAGCACGCGGGAGAGTTGCACGCATCGCTACTCACCCCTGGGTGGTTTTGCTACAGAGGGAGGCCCCTGTAGAAAAGCTTTGTCCAGTGGCAGCTTTTCAGAATCAGCATCTTTATTTATTACTGGAGGAATCCGAGGAGCTATAAAGCTCTTGTTTACAGATGTATAATACGGGGCCATTTCAGAGGCAGCCGTAGCACGAGTTGTGAAGTCGGGGCCCAGTCATCTTTACTCGGACGCGCCTCATTCAAAGACTTCGATAACTGAGGTCTCACCTTCTACAAACCGGGACCCCTCTTGCTGCTGTGGCTGTCTCTTTACCGTTACTGCCACGCACAATACGAGGTTTTTAAGCTCTCCCGGGGAAGCCCCAGCCCTTGAGGGCAAGTGGCTCTCAACCGGGGGAGGTACGCGGACCCCTGGGGGTACGTGGAAATGTCCCAGGCGGTACGTGAGGCGGTTTATCAATGTGTGAAATTATATCAATGGTGAATAATCACGTATGAATGTGCCAATGTAAAATGACTACGATACAGAGGTACCTGTACCCTACCCAATACCCGGCTGGGTACGGGTAGCCGGGTATCGTGTAGGGTTCGGGACGGGTACCTGATTGCGACCTCTGGGATGAAGCCATGTTGCAGGCGCGGGTGGGTTGATTCTAGGAACTTGAATTATGAGAAGAGACAAGACGTTGGGAAATGAGTGACAAACGGTGACTCACCAGTGACTCGCGGCCTTCTCACTCATTGGTTGGGGTGAGTCACGTGTGGCTACCCGTACCCGGCCGCACCAGGGTCGCAAACGGCGACCCTGGTGCGGGTAGCCGGTTATCGGGTAGGGTACGGGTATCGGGTACCCGATTGCGACCTCTGCTACGATGCATTTTAAATCCACTTGGTAACCTAGCACGTTATAAGAGATCTTTTAAAACTCAATGATCGTACACAATGCGGGGTTTTTCAAGCGTAACCAGCGAGCTCCAACAAATTATGTCACGCGTGCAGAGCGCACGTAGATATTTATATTTTTTTATTCGCTTGCAGTTACTTCGCTAGGTTAGGATATACCTCACGAAATGGACAATCGGCTACAATATTGATGTTCATTATTCATAAAATGTGTTTCTCAGAACCATGTCGGGTCAGGCAAGGGTTGGGGGTGGGGGGGGGGTTAGCACTCGGATGAAACAACATTAAACAAGACGGATACACAGGTAGCCAACGTGAGGGTTGACAACCATTCTCTTTGGTTCTTTCGGTAAAGTCACGTGACTACCGAAAGAACCAAAGAGTATGGATTCCCGCAGTCACGTGAAAGCTTCAAATCAAGGTTGACAACCACTCCTTTGAGGCGGTGTTGGTGCGTCGCTGGCTTTTGTGGGCGTAAGAACGCCTTTGGCGAGTGGTGGAGGCATTCCCGCGCCAATACAAACACGGAAGTCGAGGCCGCGGCGATGAACGACGAGAGGGGGGGACGGCGTTACGAATCACCGAGTTTCTCGCACCGACGCTTTTACGCCGCTCGTTTCTTAGTGGGGGTCGGAGGGGGGGGGGAGGCGGCGATCGTGAGGTTTTGTGGTCGTGAAGAGAGGCGTGTGACATGAGCCGTCGGGGGTTCACCGCCCGTCCCCCGCCCCCCCACCTTGCGCGCAGGTCGGCTGGGACAACCGCACCATGGCCTTTGACGACATGCCCGCGATGTTTGGCTACCAGCTGCCCAAGGAAGGGCTCAAGGTAACACTTCCCCCTCCCCTCCCCCCCCCCCCCCGGCGCCTGCCCGCCAGGAATAAACCGCGGGCTATGCGCGCGACTCTGTAACGTGTTCCGCAATTCGCGTTTGTCCACGGAAGCGTTTGCCCGGCAAGGGCGCTTTGATGAATGTGTCCCGTCTTCTTCTGGAGTCCCTAATAGCAACGCAACTTTGTACAGTTTGACACGCAGTAGGTCCTTTCGCGACCAATATCGTCCTTTTTCATTTTGGGTGAGATCGCGTAAATGTAAATGCGTTAAACCCGCCACCAACTCGACACGGCCAATCGGCAACGTTGGTCGCGTAAACAAAACGTGCCAATTGGTTACGACGTGAGGCCACACCGGTTGTGTGTTGTGGAGCAAACCCACGATGTTTACAATTCCGGTACCGTGACCTCGCAATACGGCAGATTTATAAAAAATTCTGTCATTCACACTGGATCGTATTTACCCGCCATGCAGACAGAATGAGAATCGGATGGACAGCGTTCGTTCATTCCCACTTTCTGTGTCGTTTGAATGGACAAAGGGGGGCTAGAAACTGTAATGTTCATATAGAAATGGTGAGTTACTAAACGTTCTTGTGACCGTGTCACGTGTGTGTGTGTGTGTGTGCGCGTGGGGAGCGGTGGTGTAGCGATTAGCGCGCTGCGCTACAAACCCGGTGACCCGGCTTCGATTACCGCTCACGACCAACACCAGTGATGGTTATCTGACCCGGTGTAGTAAACATCGCGACTGGGGAGACAAAGGCGGTCGGGCGTGATGCTGGCCACCCACCCCCACTTGTGCCGTGCCGGCCTTCATAAGTGCTCCTCGCTAACAGCACTTGCCCCAACAGTCCGTTGAGGCTACACGGGGGATCTTTGTCTCTGTTTTTTTTTGTGCGCGCGTGAATGGATGAGCGCTTGGCATATCTGACCAGTCACATGGGGAGTCATGTGATGCGTACACAAAACCCCCGCTGGTCGCAGTGCTTAACAGCCACGCCAACCGCCTACTGCTGGCACAACGCTCCGAATTTTAAGTGGATTCACTTTTGAGCGCCTTAACGAGCAAATCTCGGAGCGTGGAAGCTAAGTCGTGTTGAGCCTGGCCAGAGCTTGCGTGGTTGTCCGTCATGCACCAGCGTGGCGAGCAGAGGGCACCGCTGCCAACAAAAACAATCCAACGTTGTGCTGTACTTCTGTGCCCCCTACGTGCACGCACCGTCCGCCGGCAGCAACCCCCGCATTTGCCCGACGTGGCCACGCGTGGTCAAATAATCCCCGTGTGAACCTCGTAAAGCCGCCGTGGGGGGAGGGCCTCATCCTGCAGGGCCGTACGTACGCACGTTGAACTTATTTCGCAGCGTACGTAGCTGACCGTGCTAATCGGAGGTGCGGGGTGGGGGAAGGACGACAAACTAAAAGCAACAACAACAAGCAGTTTACAAGAAACGAGTTTGTGAATCGAGACGATGATTTAAAAGTGCATGGCTCCCACTGTCTTCCCGACATCGGAAGGAAGCGCGTTCCCATACGGCCGCAGCAGCGCGTCTGCAAGCGTCTTCGGGGTTTGCCGCGGTTGCAGCGCTTCCGCTGCTGCTGGCAGGAGTTTTGAAGGCGAGACCGCGTGGCAGTCGGTGTGTGGGAGAGGAACCGAGAGACGCGCGTGTTTTTTTAGAAGGCGGCAACCTCCCAGGGTGCCGCGTCACGTGGTTTGTGTGCCACGATGCCCCCCCTTCAAGTTTCAAGTTCATTTATTAGGCACAAGCCCTGTGAGCCATTCGGCTCTTGAATCGGGTGCAACCGCAACAAACAAAAACATGAACAAAAAACACCTTAAAGTGAATATGTGACTGAGTGCAAACAGAAAATCCAAGAAAGGACAGTAAAATATTGCAGAAAAAGCACCGTACACAAAAATGTGCAAAAATCCCAATGGGATGCAAGTCAAACAACAACAACCACAAGACAACTTAGATTAAGGCCATCAGTCTAACTACTACAACATACAAACATGGCCAAACCAAAAAACTTATCGAAAATCACCAAAAGAAAGCCATAAAAGCAAGGAAACAGTGGTCATGGGAACTGTGACCGAATTTTCACAATAAACGGCGTAAACAACATGTACCACCAAACTTTGCAGCCATCGCTGGTTGCATGAGTCACTCCACAACAGCAGGAGCATCAGTCGGAGTATCAACATTTTTCAATGCACCTTTAAGATCAGCACCCTCGCGGCTTGCCCGGCACGTGACCGTGACTGACCGCTTTGGCCGGATCCCAACAATCGTCCGAGAGCTGCCTTCTGCTTTCTTGCCGCCACGCGCAGACAGACAAAGGTCCCCGTGCAGCCCACGACAGACTTGTGGCAAGTGCTGTTGGCGAGCACCTACTAAGGCCAACGTGTGGCACACGATGGGGCGCGTGGCCAGCATTTTGCCCGGCTACCTTTGTCTCCTAAAGACACTGCACCAGGTGCTCGTTTAAGGCTGAGTCGACCTGGACCAGTTCAAATATTCGCTGTCACTGTTGTTGGTCGTCAAAGGGGTTTGAACCCAGGTCGCCGGGTTCGTAGCGCACTGCACCGACCACTGCGCCACCACTCTCCACGTTCACACGCGTAGATACATCCACGCAGAGACACGCACGCAGAGACACGCACGCAGAGACACGCACGCAGAGACACGCACGCAGAGACACGCACGCAGAGACACGCACGCGGAGACACGCACGCAGAGACACGCACGCGCACAACAACCACCTTTCGCCGCTCAGTGGCGGTGACATCACTACGGCGCTTGTGCCAGGCTAGGTGCACTCTGAGGCCATGTGAATTGTTGCAGGCTTGCTGGCAGGAGCTCACGGAAGGACGATAATCGCCATCTCAACCAAGTGCACGATCGCACACACAGAGGCAAAGACAAAGATCCCCCAAATAGCCTGAACAGACTGTTAGGGCAAGTGCTGTTAGCGAGCAACTATGAAGGGTGGAACGGCACACGAGGGGGTAGGTAGCCAACACCATGCCTGGCCGCCTTTGTCTCCCTAGTGGCGATGTTTGCACACCGCCAGGTACTCATTTGAGGCTGAGTCGACCTAGGGGTGGACCAGGACCGGTTCATATAATCGTCACTGGTGTTGGTCGGGAGCGGCAATCGAACTCGGATCGCTGGGTCTAGTGCAGCGTGCTAACCGCTACTGCTCCGCACTCGTGCTCACGGACGAACACGCGCACACACGCGCACGGACGAACACTGACGTGGCACGCATTGCCCGTGCAGCCCTTGTGGCAATTCGTTGCTGTAGGAGGGCCTTCTCCCATGCATCACCACGTCGAGCATTGCGGGTTAAATTTCGACTTAAAGCTTTCGTGACTGCAGGGATTCATCTTCTTGGTTCTTTCGGTAAAGTCACGTAGAAGGGAATAATAAAATAATAAAAATAAAACTTCATAAAATAATTCTCACGACGTTTCGGCCACAACGCAAGCTGTCTCCCCGACAGACCTGGTCTTCACCTGAGGACGGCTGCTTGCGTTGTGGCCGAAACGTCGTGAGAATTATTTTATTCTGTTTTATTTTTATTATTTTATTATTTCCCTTCTACGGGACTTTACCGAAAGAACCAAGAAGACATTGCGGGTTAGTGAAGGCGGCGGTGGGGCATCGACGTTGGCGCAGCAGTACAGTACGACGATGGATTTTTTTGATTGCCGCTCTCCGCTGCCCGCGAGCTCTCGGCGTGCCGGTGCGGTCCGGTGAAACGGCCCCACCACCCCCCTCGGCCGTGGCTGTGCCGCAACGCGCGGTGGTGCCGTGGCGCTCATCGCCTCTCTCCCCCGCCGCAGGGCTACCTGGTCTACGCCAGGCCGGCCAACGCCTGCCAGCCCATCGCTCCTCCGCCGCACAACAGCACCGCCGCCTCCACCTTCATCGTGCTCATCAGGCGATACGACTGCAACTTTGACGTGAAGGTGAGCGGTGCTGGCGGCGGCGGTGGTGGTGGTGGTGGTGGGCGAGGTGCCCGCCCAGGCCTGTTTACCACGGTCATGAGCGGGACAACAGCCCGCTCACCTGACAACAAGCGTCGGGTCAGACGACCAATCGGGGAGTAGGCCAAGGCCTCCCGCTGTGATTGGTCGGGAGGCAAGATTGAGAGGGATTTGAGGAAAGATTTTAAAGGTGCAAAGGGCGGGTGCGAGCAGAGGGGCGGACCGCAGAAGGACGGTTGAGAGCCGTTGGTGGGGAAGGGTCAGGATAGGACGAAGGGAGTGGGGGTGATGGAAGCTTCCAGAGAGAGAGGGGGGCTTGGGAGGTATGAAAGGGAACGGCACAAGGAGGAGGGGTGGGACGTTCGAGAAGAGACGGAGCTCAAGCCTCAAGAACCAGAGGCCCGCGGGTGTCGTTAGTGCTGTGTCTGAATGAAGGCTCTTAGAAAAGTCACAAGGTGTGTTGGCGTCGCTACGCTTCCATCACCGGTGTGTGCCCATGCAGAGCAGCAGGCTGGAGTCGGCCTTGTGCACAGTCACAGCCTTCCATCCGGCCTTTTGGGCGTTCCATCCGGCCTTTTGTGGGCGCCAGTGTCGCCCGAACCGGGGTTGGAACTCATCACCCGTGGTCTCGGGCCACCTCGACGGCGGCGCTGGAGAATCTTAGTCCAGTCTCGGACCGATTTCGTCATCGGTTGCTTTTGGGTCACGGTGTTGGGTAGGTATTATAATAACCCTCTCACCACCCCGCGACGGAGCCAATGAAAAGCAGCAAGCCGTCGCGTCACGGGGGGAAAACACGGCAATCGATTTTGTCAGCGAAGATGCCGGGGGACTGGTGGGGGGGGTTGTTGGAGGGTTGAATGTTGAAGAGCGGGCCACATTTTTCATACGCCGGAGGTTACGCCCAGCATCGTCGGGTTATCGGCAAGGGCCTGGGCGTAAGAAACGAGCGTCCTGATCTGGCTCCCCGACACTGCTGTGCGGACGAACCGGTCCAGCAACTACCGTTCACCGCCGCTCGATTGCTTGTGATTGGTCGGGTTTAGATTGGTGTGAGGTGACTATTTTTGCCGTTGTTGCAAATAGGCTGTCCGGAATTATATGGAGGCACGTTATTTCGTATTGGCGCTGCAGTTCGAATGTTGTTATGGTTCTAGGTAAGGCTTAACTGGTTGATAGGGTTAATTAATTAGTACAATGGGGGATCGGCACTACGATGAATTAATGAAACGGGTCGGTTGAAGAGATTGTTGGAGTTGACGTCGTTAAAGCCGACGATCAGTTGGTTTAATTTCGATGGCTGTAGTTGCCCTGCTGCCGTTACGAATTTAGTTCGACGTTGCTTGAAACCCTTTCCCGCTCCGATGACGGAAAATCCGCGTGACCAACGTGGGGAGAACACTCCAGCCCGCGGTCGGACCCACGACCTCCCGCATACCAGGCGAGGGAGTGAACATCCTCCTCGCAAACGCCGGTGCGTTCCGTTACCCGGCACGTGCCGGTAGCGGCCGCGACGGCGGTCGCCGAGCGGCGGCCAAGGGCACGAACGTGCGAGCGGGAAAATCTCGCTCTTCCGTCGCAGCGACCCTGATTGGTTGTCTGCCTGGGTAGGGTCACAAGAACCGCGCCTCACCGTGTTGTCGATGTTGGTGTGCCCGTGTGCGTGTGTGCGTGTGTGTGCGTGCGTTCGTGTGTGTGTGTGTGCGCACCCAGGTTCTGAACGCCCAAAAGGCCGGATTCAAGGCTGCGATTGTGCACAACGTCGACTCCAACCAGCTGCTCAGCATGGGCACCAGTGATGGTAGCAAGGGAGAGAAATGCACTCATTGCCATCCTCACGTGCCGACTCATCTCTCTCACCAGTGTGACTGTGATCAAAGTCTTAGTTTCCTTGTTAAAACCTACCTCCTTCTCCTCCCTCCCTCTTTTCCCTCTCCTCCCTCCCTCTCCTCCCTCCCTCTCCTCCCTCCCTCTCTCCTCCCTCCCTCTCCTCCCTCCCTCTCCTCCCCCCTTCCTCTTCTCCCTCCCTCTCCTCCCTCCCTCTCTCCTCTCCTCCCTTTCCTCCCTCTCCTCCCTCCCTCTCTCCTCCCTCCCTCTCCTCCCTCCCTCTTCTCCCTCCCTCTCCTCCCTCCCTCTCCTCCCTCTCATCTCCTCCCTCTCCTCCCCCTCCCTCTCCTCCCCCTCCCTCTCCTCCCTCTCCTCCCTCCGTCCGTCTGTCCGTAGCCGACATCTGGAAGAAGATTGACATCCCCTCGGTGTTTGTGGGGCAGAGCACGGCCAACCGCCTCCTCGAGGAGTTTGTGTACGACGTCGGGTGAGCACGTGGGGACGAGCTGGCGGCACGGGGTGTGCTGCTTGTGCAGCGATGTGCAGCGGTGCAGCGTGTGCAGTATGTCGTGTGTGCGGCGAGCGGCATGTGCGGTGCGTGCAGTGAGCGGTTTGTGTGGCATGTGCAGGGTGCAGCATGTGCGGTGTGCAGTATGTGGCGTGTGCAGGGTGCAGCGTGTGCGGTCTGTGCAGTGAGCGGTCTGTGCGACTTGTGCAGTGAGCAGAGTGTGTGCAGCGGCGACGGCTCGCTGACGATTGCCCCCCCCCTCCTCTGCGTAGAGGCCACGTGGTGCTAACGCCGGACTTCTCCATTCCGCTCGAGTACTACCTCATCCCCTTCCTCGTCATCGTCGGCATCTGCTTCATCCTCCTCGTCGTGTTCTTGGTACGCAAGCCGCGGCGGCGTGACGGCTCCGGTGGCGGTCGTCCCTCTCCGGTGGGGGGTTGGGGGCGGTGGCGGTCGTACCGAGCGGTGCTCGGCAAAGGCGCCGTGACGTTTTGCACCGAGTGCTGAGAACTTTGTAGGCACACCGACGACGTTGACGACGACGTTGATGATGACGACGTTGACGACGACGATGTTGACGACGATGATGATGAGGACGACGATGACGACGACGACGACGATGTTGACGACGATGTTGATGACGACGACGATGTTGACGACGATGTTGACGACGACGACGATGTTGATGACGTCGACGATGACGACGACGATGACGATGACGATGTTGATGACGACGACGATGTTGATGACGATGTTGACGACGACGACGATGTTGATGACGTCGACGATGACGACGACGATGACGATGACGATGTTGATGACGACGACGATGTTGATGACGATGTTGACGACGACGACGATGTTGATGACGTCGACGATGACGACGACGATGACGATGACGATGTTGATGACGACGACGATGTTGATGACGATGTTGATGACGACGACGATGTTGACGACGATGTTGACGACGACGACGATGACGACGACGATGACGATGACGATGTTGATGACGACGACGATGTTGACGACGATGTTGATGACGTCGACGATGACGACGACGATGACGATGACGATGTTGATGACGACGACGATGTTGACGACGATGTTGATGACGACGACGATGTTGACGACGATGTTGATGACGATAATAGCGATGATGTTGATGACGTCGACGATGACGACGACGATGACGATGACGATGTTGATGACGACGACGATGTTGACGACGATGTTGATGACGTCGACGATGTTGACGACGATGTTGATGACGACGACGATGTTGATGACGTCGACGATGACGACGACGATGACGATGACGATGTTGATGACGACGACGATGTTGACGACGATGTTGATGACGACGACGATGTTGACGACGATGTTGATGACGACGACGATGTTGATGACGTCGACGATGACGACGACGATGACGATGACGATGTTGATGACGACGACGATGTTGATGACGACGACGATGTTGATGACGACGACGATGTTGATGACGACGACGATGTTGATGACGACGACGATGTTGATGACGACGACGATGTTGATGACGATGACGATGTTGATGACGACGACGATGTTGATGACGACGACGATGTTGATGACGATGACGATGTTGATGACGACGATGTTGATGACGACGACGATGTTGATGACGACGACGATGTTGATGACGACGACGATGTTGATGACGATGACGATGTTGATGACGACGACGATGTCGATGACGACGACGATGTTGATGACGTCGACGATGACGACGACGATGACGATGACGATGTTGATGACGACGACGATGTTGATGACGACGACGATGTTGATGACGACGACGATGTCGATGACGACGACGATGTTGATGACGTCGACGATGACGACGACGATGACGATGACGATGTTGATGACGACGACGATGTTGATGACGACGACGATGTTGATGACGACGACGATGTTGATGACGACGACGATGTTGATGACGATGACGATGTTGATGACGACGACGATGTTGATGACGACGACGATGTTGATGACGACGACGATGTTGATGACGACGACGATGTTGATGACGATGACGATGTTGATGACGACGACGATGTTGATGACGATGACGATGTTGATGACGACGACGATGTTGATGACGACGACGATGTTGATGACGACGACGATGTTGATGACGATGACGATGTTGATGACGACGACGATGTTGATGACGACGACGATGTTGATGACGACGACGATGTTGATGACGACGACGATGTTGATGACGTCGACGATGACGACGACGATGACGATGACGATGTTGATGACGACGACGATGTTGATGACGACGACGATGTTGATGACGACGACGATGTCGATGACGACGACGATGTCGATGACGACGACGATGTTGATGACGTCGACGATGTTGATGACGACGACGATGTTGATGACGACGACGATGTCGATGACGACGACGATGTTGATGACGTCGACGATGTCGATGACGACGACGATGTTGATGACGACGACGATGTTGATGACGACGACGATGTTGATGACGACGACGATGTTGATGACGACGACGATGTTGATGACGACGACGATGTTGACGACGACGACGATGTCGACGACGACGACGATGTTGATGACGACGACGATGTTGATGACGACGACGTCGACGACGACGACGATGTTGATGACGACGACGATGTTGACGACGACGACGATGTTGATGACGACGACGTCGACGACGACGACGATGTTGACGACGACGACGATGTTGATGACGACGACGATGTTGATGACGACGACGTCGACGACGACGACGATGTTGATGACGACGATGTTGATGACGACGACGTCGACGACGACGACGATGTTGATGACGACGACGATGTTGATGACGACGACGATGTTGATGACGACGACGATGTCGATGACGACGACGATGTTGATGACGACGACGATGTTGATGACGACGACGATGTTGATGACGACGACGTCGACGACGACGACGATGTTGATGACGACGACGATGTTGACGACGACGATGTCGACGACGACGACGATGTTGATGACGACGACGATGTTGACGACGACGACGATGTTGATGACGACGACGTCGACGACGACGACGATGATGTTGATGACGACGACGATGTTGATGACGACGACGATGTTGACGACGACGACGATGTCGACGACGACGACGATGTTGATGACGACGACGATGTTGACGACGACGATGTCGACGACGACGACGATGTTGATGACGACGACGATGTCGACGACGACGACGATGTTGATGACGACGACGTCGACGACGACGACGATGTTGATGACGACGACGATGTTGATGACGACGACGTCGACGACGACGACGATGTTGATGACGACGACGATGTTGACGACGACGACGATGTTGATGACGACGACGTCGACGACGACGACGATGTTGATGACGACGATGTTGATGACGACGACGTCGACGACGACGACGATGTTGATGACGACGACGATGTTGATGACGACGATGTTGATGACGACGACGTCGACGACGACGACGATGTTGATGACGACGACGATGTTGATGACGACGATGTTGATGACGACGACGTCGACGACGACGACGATGTTGATGACGACGATGTTGATGACGACGACGATGTTGACGACGACGACGATGTTGATGACGACGACGATGTTGATGACGACGATGTCGACGACGACGACGATGTTGATGACGACGATGTTGATGACGACGACGATGTTGATGACGACGACGATGTTGATGACGACGACGATGTTGATGACGACGACGATGTTGATGACGACGACGATGTTGATGACGACGATGTCGACGACGACGACGATGTTGATGACGACGATGTTGATGACGACGACGATGTTGATGACGACGACGATGTTGATGACGACGACGATGTTGATGACGACGACGATGTTGATGACGACGACGATGTTGATGACGACGACGTCGACGACGACGTCGACGTCGACGACGACGATGTTGATGACGACGACGATGTTGACGACGACGACGATGTTGATGACGACGACGATGTTGATGACGACGACGATGTTGATGACGACGACGATGTTGATGACGACGATGTTGATGACGACGACGTCGACGACGACGACGATGTTGATGACGACGACGATGTTGATGACGACGATGTTGATGACGACGACGTCGACGACGACGACGATGTTGATGACGACGACGATGTTGATGACGACGACGATGTTGATGACGACGACGATGTTGACGACGACGACGATGTTGACGACGACGACGATGTTGACGACGACGACGATGTCGACGACGACGACGATGTTGATGACGACGACGATGTCGACGACGACGACGATGTTGATGACGACGACGATGTTGACGACGACGACGATGTTGATGACGACGACGATGTCGACGACGACGACGATGTTGATGACGACGACGATGTCGACGACGACGACGATGTTGATGACGACGACGATGTTGACGACGACGACGATGTTGATGACGACGACGATGTTGATGACGACGACGATGTTGACGACGACGACGATGTCGACGACGACGACGATGTTGATGACGACGACGATGTTGATGACGACGACGATGTTGATGACGACGACGATGTCGACGACGACGACGATGTTGATGACGACGACGATGTTGACGACGACGATGTCGACGACGACGACGATGTTGATGACGACGACGTCGACGACGACGACGATGTTGATGACGACGACGATGTTGATGACGACGACGTCGACGACGACGACGATGTTGATGACGACGACGATGTTGATGACGACGACGATGTTGATGACGACGACGATGTTGATGACGACGACGATGTTGATGACGACGACGATGTTGATGACGACGACGATGTTGATGACGACGATGTTGATGACGACGACGTCGACGACGACGACGACGTTGACGACGACGATGTCGACGACGACGACGATGTTGATGACGACGATGTTGATGACGACGACGTCGACGACGACGACGATGTTGATGACGACGACGATGTTGATGACGACGACGATGTTGATGACGACGATGTTGATGACGACGACGTCGACGACGACGACGATGTTGATGACGACGACGATGTTGATGACGACGACGATGTTGATGACGACGACGTCGACGACGACGACGATGTTGATGACGACGACGATGTTGATGACGACGACGATGTTGATGACGACGACGATGTTGATGACGACGATGTTGATGACGACGACGTCGACGACGACGACGATGTTGATGACGACGACGATGTTGATGACGACGATGTTGATGACGACGACGTCGACGACGACGACGACGTTGACGACGACGATGT